AATAGATTAGGCACAATTGTAGCCTAATTTTTTTTTCTTGGATTACAAAACACAGTTCTGAGGATTCAAGTTTTGACATGGTCGCGTATTTTTAATAGCGTGTTTGTAAATTTAAAAAAATAATAACGAAGGGAGGAGAACACGAGGTTCAGACTTCTGTATGGCCCTCTTCCCCCTTTAACAAAGTTAGTTGTGTTTGGAGACTTGCAGAGAGTGCTACATGACATCCCGTTGATCATATTTCCTAATTTTATTTTTAAACGCACTTGCCCCAGTATGATCTGGGTTAGAATAAGCATCACCCTGTTCAACACTGGATAGAAGAATGTACTAGAAAATGACCTCCTTTGCCAAAAAAAATATAAACTTTGTTAATGAAGTTTAGTGGCTTTTGGATACGTTCCCAGTAGACATGAGAATCGGCCTTGCTTTATTTCTTAATTTTTTCATCCTTCAGGTTGACTTTACACAATTGCTGGATGCTTTTGAAGGAAAGCGCAAGTGGGGACCGGGCTCAAAACAGTTTAGCCTTGATCTAGTGATCAAAAAGATGGATTGAGGGAGAATACAGGTAGTCCTCGGATTAACAATCACAATTGAGCCTAACATTTTTGTTGCTAAGCGAGACATTTGTAAAGTGGGTTTTGCCCCTTTTATACGACTTTTCTTGCCACCGTTGCTAAGCGAATCAGTGCAGTGTTAACCTGATTGTTCAATTAATCTGGCTTCCCCATTAACTTTGCTTGTTAGAAGGCTGCAAAAGTGGATTAGATGATCGCGGGACACTGCAACCGTCATAAGTCTGAACCCGTTGGCAAGCATCTGAATTTTGATCACGTGACCCTGGGGATGCTGCAGTGGTCATAAGTGTGAAAACAGTCCTGGGTCACTTTTTTCAACACCTTTGTTACTTTGAACGGTCACTAAACAAACTGTTGTAAGTTGAGAGCTATCTGTAGTATCCTGTTACAGGTGTAGTCCTTCAGATGTGTTTGAACTAGGATTGAGAAGGCACTTTTGGGGGGACAAAACACCAGAAGGGACAGTGGCCATCCAATTTAGAGCAGACTTGATAAAAGCTCCTTGTTTCGATAGGATTAATATAAATGTTAATCACTGTCCATTTTGAACACGTAGCGAAAAGAGGAAGCTTGAGAGTTCACAAGGTTGATGCTATATGGAACAAAACTATGGCTGAACCTGGATGTTCTGCTTCGGATACCACGGAGCCCCCTCCTCCCAGAAGGTAACCAGGAAAACAGGTTGTGGAGAAGACGTGTAGCATCCCAGACAATCCTGTGGACCCTGCTCAAGTGTCGCTTATGTGCCACGTCCTGGATGGAAGGGAGGGAACTAAATGCATTAGATCAGAGGTCCCCAACCTTTTGGGCACCAGGGACCAGTTCCGTGGACAGAGGCTTTTCTGCGGACCAGACGGTACGTGGTTTTGTGTGCTGCCTGCATCCTGTGGATTGGGGCTTTGCTTGTTTGTGTGGCCCTGTTGCGGGCATGCCACAGCCCACTACTGGGTCCACAGACCGGGGATTGGGGACCCTTGCATTAGATGCATCTCAGCCTGGCTTCAGGTCTTGATTTACCCCTGAAATAGCCTTAATTGCCCTAATCGATACCTTTATGAAGGGGGGGGGAATAATCAACAGAAGTTCTTGATTTCTGTTAGGTCTTCCAGCAGCCTCGGATATTGTTGATCAGGAGATATTTTGCTGAAGGAGCTCCTTGGATGGTAGGAACTGTGTCCAGTGACTCCACTCTATATACAGGAGGTGTGAGGTTTCACTCTGGCTCTGTTCTTTCTTCCTTGCGGTTCAGCATGTACACAAAGCCGCAGGGAGAAGTCGTCTGGAGATTTGGGTTTCAAATGTTCAGTGTTCTCCTTTTCATCTAACTCAGGAGAGGTGGTGCAGGTGCTGGAGAGTTGTTTCAAAAACGGAAAGGGCTGGAAAGAGAGTCAAGAAGCTGAAACTGATAACAGATAAGATGGAACCATTGCGGAGGAGGTACAGATAGCTCTTGATTTAACAACCATTCATTTAGTGACCGTTCTCACCATTTAGTGACCGTTCTCACCGGCTCAAGGTGGCCTCAGCCTCCTGTCCTTCCAAGGTCGGTAAAACGAGGATTGCTGGGGCCAAGATGCTGACTCTGTAAACCGCTTAGAGAGAGCTGTACAAAGCACCGTGGAGCGGTCTATAAGTCTAAGTGCTAGTGCTATTCGAAGTTTCAACAGCACTGAAAAAAAAGTAACACAACCGTTTTTCACCCTTAACAACCGTTGCAGCATCCCCATGGTCACCTAATCAAAGTTTAGATACGTGGCAACTGGTTTCATATTTATGACAGTTGCGGTGTCCTGGGATGATGTGTTTCCCTTCTTGCAACTTTCCAACAAGCAAATGCAACAGGGAAGCCAAATTCACATAACCATGGCGTTATTAGCTTAACAATTGCGGTGAATCACTTAATGTGGTGCGTCAAATGGGGTCAAACCCCGCTTTTTTTTTGCTTAGCACATAAATTTTGGGACTCCCTGTATTACACTGAGATTTGGGAAGGTGGCTTATAATATCAAGAGAGGTAGCGCTTCAAAGAAACAGCTGCATGGATGAGAGTTCTCCTTCTACCCCAAGGGACAACAGGCCATACGGGGTGAGCGGTTTTGACGATACTGGAAATAATTCCCATCTGTTTTTCCTCACGTCTCTTTTAAGGTTTTTTTTTTTTTTAAAGGAATTAAGACATGGTTCTGACACTTCCAATATTCCCCTGTTTAAAAAAAGAAAGGCAGGCAAGCTTTCGTAAACCGCCCAGAGACGGCTATGTCTGAGTTGTGCAGCTATATAAATTTGTTTAATTAATAATGATCGATGATGATGATGATGTTGGAAGGGACCTTGGAGATCATCTAGTCCAGTGATGGCGAACCTTTTAGAGACTGAGTGCCCAAACTGCAACCCAAAACCCACTTATGTATCATCGGGTGCCGGGTGGGTGTGGCCCATTGGGTGGGCATGGCTGCAGTGGTAATGGCAGACTGGGTGGGACTAAATGGCAGAGTGGGTGGGACTGGGTTCAATCAATAATTCCAACTTTGTGAGATCTTTTTTTTCCCACGAGAAGTTGAAATTGATTGAACCTTTTTTTTTTTTGCACACGGTGGTGAAAAGGTTTTATAAAACCCACCTGAAGGCCTAGGACTGGGGCGACAGCGCGTGTGCCCACAGAGAGGGCTCTGCGTGCCACCTGTAGCATGCGTGCCATAGATTCGCCACCACGGATCTAGTCCAACCCCCTGCTCAGGCAGGAAACCCTATATCATTTCAGACAAATGGCTGTCCAGTCTCTTCTTAAAAACTTCCAGTGTTGGAGCATTCACCGCTTCTGGAGGCAGGTTGTTCCACTGGTGAATTGTTCTGACTGTCAGGAAGTTTCTCCTTAGTTCTAGGTTGCTTCTCTCCTTGATTAGTTTCCATCCGTTGCTTCTTGTCCTGCCTTCAGGCGCCTTGGAGAATAGCTTGACTCCCTCTTCTTTGGGGCAGCCCTTGAGATATTGGAACAATGCTATCCTGTCCCCTCTCGTCCTTCTCTTCATTAAACTAGACATACTCAATTCCAGCAACCGTTCCTTATTACGGTGAAGCACTCTGTGGATTGTGTGCCTGACCCTATAACAGAATAACTTGAGTTGGAAGGGACCTTGGGGGGAGGGGGGTGTCTTACCAGAAATTGTCTTATCAGGTTTTGAGGACTGACCATTTAAGTCCCTTCCTTGAAGACTCTCCTTTATGAAGGGAAGGTGCATTCTCTGAGCTTGTGGGTTGGTTTTTGAACCTTTTGGTACCAGGCTAGGTAACATCTTCAGCGGAGTTTCGGCGGGGATGTCAGTGTCATTGTTCCTAAGGGGTTCAGGTGTGGATGTGTCAAGTGAGGGTCTTGTGATGGCTCAGGTGTGAGTCATCAGTGAGAGGCTTGACTCACACTTGACCCATCACAAGACCCTCAATTGACACACCCACACCTGAAGCCCTTACAAACAGAGGAACACTGACATCCCCTAAACTTTGCGGAAGATGTTAACTAGCCTGGTAATGAAACGTTCAGAAACCAGCCCACAAGCTCGGAGAACGAACCTCCACCTTCATCCTACCCCCGAGCTACAGATATTTGCCAATATTCTGGAAGTTGAAGTCCACACATCTTAAAGTTGTTGGCATGGAGAGAGACACAGGTTTAAGGAATAGAATTAGAGTAGAGTAGAGTAGAGTAGAGTAGAGTAGAGTAGAGTAGAGTAGAAGAATAGAATAGGAATAGAATAGGAATAGAATAGAATAGAATAGAATAGAATAGAATAGAATAGAATAGAATAGAATAGAGAATATGGAACATAGAATATAGAATAGAATACAAAATAGAATAGAATACTGTATGGAGAATAGAATAGAATAGAATAGAATAGAATAGAATAGAATAGAATAGAATAGAATAGAATAGAATAGAACAACAGAACAGAACAGAACAGAACAGAATAGAAGAAAGGGACCTTGGAGGTCTTCTAGTCCAACCCCCTGCTCAAGCAGGAAAACCTACACCATCTCAGATAGGTGAATGTCCAGTCTCTTCTTAAAAATCTCCAGTGATGGAGCGCCCACGATTTCTGGGGGCAAGCATGTTCCACTGGTTGATTGTCCTCACACTCTCAGGAAGTTTCTCCTTAATTCCAGGTTGCTTCTTAGGCCCGATCTATATCACAAGAGAGACCCAGAGATAAATGTTCCTCCTCTTTCCCCCCACCAACAAGAGGGCTGCAAACGAACCCTTGTAATCAATCGTGTAACTGTTGATTTTTATTGTGAAAAAACATCGTAAATGCAACCGAGGACAGGCTGGCCTCTTGTACAGTATGTTGACTGCATTTATCAGAGCGGTTAATATTAACTATTAGTGTCAACATGGTGTGCTGTTGAATATCTGGGTCTTTCTAGGGAGAGGGCGGTGTTTTGCTGACATTCAGGATGTCATCCTTAGGTGAAAGTGTGGGCTGCCTGTTTGTGGATGTTGGGTCTTCCCGTCTGCAGCCTGAAATTGTGGTCCGGGCCACATTTAACGGCCCTGTGTAATCTGCGAAACCGTCGTAATAAACGAGAAAGTGAGGGGCCTTGGTGCTCTCTGAGCTGGGTTGTTTTCTTGCAGACGTTTCATTGCCCATTCGGGTAATGTCATCAGTGCTACATCATCATCCTGAAGCACTGATGATGTTACCTAGTTGGGTAATGAAACCAGATGTTCTTCTTCTTTTTTGGAGAAGTCGGGACTTGATGTTTAGAAGAGGAAATAGTCGTCGTTCTTTCAGAAGACGCGTAACGTGCATAGACTTCACATTAGGCACAGGAGGGAGAATCCAAAAAGTGGGAGTCAACAAACATAGATTTAGACGGTCGGAAGTTCCATTTAGTCCAGTCCTTTGTCCGGGCCGTTCAAATACTAGAACTCCTGTTTTATTGATCCAAGTTGATCATCCTTGACGTGAGAACCATTAGTTTAGCAACCAATCAAAGTTAACCAAAGTGGCATGATCAGTCCTCACACGTAACATTCATAGTGGCCTCCCCGCACACGTGATCAAAATCAAAATTAGCAGTCGGCGTGTATTTTTCTCCAGTACAGGAGACGGAGACTCCACCATTGGGTTTTCTTTGTCTGCCTGCTCTTGAGACCAAGTATCCAAAACTTGTCACGTTGAGGACTATCTATAACAGTGTTTCTCAACCTTGGCAACTTTACGATGTGTGGACTTCAACTCTCAGAATTCTCCAGCTAGCGTTGCTAGCTGGAGAATTTTGGGAGTTGAAGTCCACACATCGTAAAGTTGCCAAGGTTGAGAAACACTGATGTATAATAACAGTTCTGAAAGCCTGACATCATTTCCCCTTCCTTTCCTCTTAGACCAGGGGTAGGCAACCTTGGCTCTTTTATGACTCGTGGACTTCAACTCCCAGAATTCCTCAGCCAGCATGGCTCAGCTTGGAAACCTCTCCCTTTCCCCTCAGCCTGGCTGGCTCAGGAATTCTGGGAGTTGAAGTCCACCAGTCATAAAAGAGCCAAGGCTGCCTACCTCTGGCCTAGGCCTAGGCCGCTTTATGACTCATGGACTTCAACTCCCAGAATTCCTGAGTTATCATGGCTCAGCTTGGAAACCTCTCCCTTTCCCCTCAGCATGCCTGGCTCAGGAATTCTGGGAGTTGAAGTCCACGAGTCATAAAAGAGCCAAGGTTGCTTACCCCTGTCTTAGACCAAAGAGCATCAAGATGGGGCCATCTTGAGTTTCTTTCTCACCCTTTCCCTATTTTACTCGGGCAACTTACTTTCTTCAAGGCCATCTCTACAATACCTCCAGGCTGTCTTCCAGCTTCTCACCTCAGTTCTTCTTATCTTCCGTTCCTGTGCCCGCAGAACAGATGGCCAAAGAGAACTTGTGGGCGGTAGAAGTATTAAACAGTCTCTTCTTCCAGCCTGTTGTTTCTCTCTTAACTAATGTATCACGAGGCTAAGGCTGGCTTGTAATTTCCTTCTGGGCCCTGAGAGGCATTTTTATAGGATGGGACTTAAAAAGTCCTACATGCAGCAGTCTGATTTCCCCTCGAACTTGATGAAAATGATGATAAAGCCACAGACAAAACCCTTTTTAAGTTTTTCCTTGTGATTATGTCATTTTGCTAACCCAGCCCTCTTCTTTTTCAGCCTTCACGAAGAAATCAATGACTTCTACAAGTACATGTCCCCTAGACACGAAGAGGAAAGAATGCGGATGGAGGTGGTGAACAGGATAGAAAACGTAATAAAGGAACTCTGGCCCAATGCGGACGTAAGTTTAGCAAACTCTCTTTAAGTTGCCGAAGATGCTGGCATTTCTTGTCCAATGGCTGTAGATTTTAGATGACGTTCAACGGTATTAAAGGCAGAAACTCCACCATTCTGCAGTTTTTTTTAAAAAAAACAACAACCTGGAAATCTGCTGCTAAAATGAGGCGGTCTTTATTCTACATTTGCATAGCTTCAGTCGGGTCTGAAACGGCGATTCGGCCCTTTTGCACGTTCCTCTCGGTCACCCTGGCCAACGGGATCAGTTGGAACTTGAGAGGAAGCAAATGCTATCGATAAAAAAGACTTCCAGGTTTCCTTGTCCAATTCATCTGCAAGATGGATGGGCCTAAACGAGAGGTTGCCCAACCTTGGCCATTTTAAGACCTGTCAACTTCAACTCCCAGAATTCCTCAGCCAGCCATGTCGAACGATATGACCGGCAAAAGGTTTTGGGATGAGTTTGCACCTTGTGTTAAAGCAGGGGTCCTCAAACTTAGCCATTTTTAAGACTTGTGGACTCCCAACTCCCAGAATCCCCTAACCAGCCACGCCGGCTGGGGAATTCTGGGAGTTGAAGTCCACAAATCTTAAAAAGTGGCCAAGGTCGGACACCCCTGCCCTAAACTGTTGCCTGTTCTAGATCGGCCGGTCTCTTTTTGACTTTCAGATTCCATTTCCCTCTTGTAGGTAGCGGCATTCCTGACTGGCCCTTCCTCTCAACAGTTCAGTCTGTGGGAAGGAGACCAAAAAGACCTTAAACCAGGGGTAGTCAACCTTGGCTCTTTTATGACTCGTGGACTTCAACTCCCAGAATTCCTGAGCCAGCTAAGCTGGCTCAGGAATTCTGGGAATTGAAGTCCACGAGTCATAAAAGAGCCAAGGTTGACTACCCCTGCCTTGAAGGGAAAGGGAACTGGAAGTCTCCCAACATAACCTTAAAGCAAATACGTCGCTGGCATTTTTGGCTCCGGTGAGCTCTGGAGTCAGATCATCAGTGACCGAAATAATTCGCAAAAGGGCAACGTGTAAACCATGTAGGCAAAGTTCAGAGATCACAAAGGTCTCCTTTGCATTCCGTTGCAACCTGCGTAGCTTGAACAGATCTGAAAAACTTTTGACGAAAGAGCTAAGAAAACCAAATCTCCAAACAGTGGGAAAGACGCTGTCATGGATGTGCTTAGCTTTTTTTCTTCTTCTTCTTTCCCTCCAGCTGCATTTGTGTGGCATGAATCTAAAACTGGAAGGAAAAAACAAAAAACAAAAAAAACACCCCACGGTCATCTGTTTACATCTGGTAGCAAGCTGTCCATTGGCAGGTTCATCGTGGTTCATCTGAAAAATTAGAATCCCTTTTTTAAAAACTGTTGAGAACATGTGTGAGCTTAGCATTTTGAAGGAAACGATAAAAGAAGCGTTGGCATTCAAGCATGCTTTTCTTAAACTATTTATAGAAGCCAGCAATTGTGTCATTTCTGTGTTACTCCAGGGAATGTGCTTAGACACAAACATTCCTAGTAAGTGAGAGCCGTTCTTGGCATCAACCGGGCTTCACCATTAGGGCGATTGGGAGAGGCTTTTAATTACCCTGGAATCGGGATAACACAGCTGCCAAAGGAAGGAAGC